ATTCGATTTATCTATATTTGGGACACATCTCGATATTGACTTACATTATATTAGTTTCGATTTATTATCCGGAGCTAAGCGGAGGCAATTTACTGTACTGCGATAAGTATTTTTATGTTAACCCTGAAAAATTCCTTCCAACCCTATCCACATTTTTGTAATTTGTACACCTATTCTAGTTACACTGTAATCTGCTGTAGTTTCAAATAATATAATCATTATAATTTATATTTAATAGATAGAGCGATGGATTTTAACGGATTCCTTTTTCCTAGTTATAATTTCAACGGTCGGCTTTTCATTCGTCGCTTCCTGTTATTGGTATAGGTTCAGTTTGGGACTGCTTTTAATTTTTAGTTCTTACATATAATAATTATATGTTTAAATAAATCAAAAAAAGACATCGAAGCATTTGAAGATCAAAAATAGTAGTAGTTAAATTTTACTTTGATATCAATAGAGTATTTTCTGGTATCTATGAATCGAAAAAAATGTAAAATTTCTATTATTAAGACAATTAAAATATTTTTTATTGGTATATTTAGTTATACTTCGCGTGCAATTTTACTTCAGGCCAATTTGTTTACCAGTCATTATGTCCTCCGGCTAATATTTTTAGTAACCGGAATGCCCTCTGGATTATAAGTTCTTGATAAAGTCAAATTATATATAAAGCGTTGGATTTTCGCCTTAGATGAAAAGCACAAGAAGAAATTAAGATAACGTATCTTATCGATTGAGGCAATAATTTATTAAATTGTAATTCGCTATTATTATAAATTTTAATTAAAATTCTAAATTTTTTGCTTATCTCACATTCGTTTATAATCAATAATCATTAAGAACTGCGCATAACTCCATTACCAAGTGATTATAATACATTTCTACAAACTGATAACGCTATTAATTTGTGAACCAACTTTAATTTTATAAAGATTTAACCAATTTATTCCAAACAATTTCGTAATTCAATATTCGAAGTTTAAAAAGCATTTTGCTTCCCTACTAGAAAACATTTCTTAAATGGGACATAAGAAGGATTTTGCGTATTTTTGGCACTACATGATTTTATGGGTAGTATTAATCACTATAAACGGTTGGATTAACGAACTTAAATTATGCATTCATATTACGAAATATTTATTTGAGCCTTTAATGTAAATGCAATAAAACATAAAAAAATGGTTACATTTTAATTACAAGATTTAACATAATTCAACTTTATTTCTAGAAATTAATAAATATGTTACAGGATAATATGTAAGGTATGCCTATAAGTTTTTGATGATTGGTTTTATGTCGCCATTTATTATTTTGTCTTGGTTTCATTTCATCATGTTTTTTTTTTGTAATTTTTGGAATTTTTAACGTAACATTTGGTAATTCCTTTACATTTTAAAGAAACTATATAAATTAAAGTTAATTAGTCCGGAGCGTCAAAAATTGAGTCGATATGTGATTGGTCTGTTCTTTTGATCTACAAAACAAATTCTTAATTTGGTATATAATAAACGACGTGCGTGTTACACGATACGAATAATCATATTGGTCCTTTATTATATATATACGTGCTTAATCTCGAAATTTTTAGTATACATAATAGTCAAATAATAATAGCCATTTAAATTACCTACGTAAAATTGACCAATATTGACTCTCGTAAATAAAATCGCCATAAAAGAGAAAATTAATAGTGCGTTTCTATTTGACGAGGGTTTAACCAGCATATGGTGAAACAAATATATTTTTATAATACCATATAATTTACGAATGAATATTTTATTTTACATAAAAATTCATATATTTTTAATTTACAGATTTATTATATTATAGATCTCATCAGATTCTCTTTGAAATAACTTCATTTAAATAAAGGTTACCGAGATTTTACTTGGTTTGTCTGGTTTGTCTTTAAACCACAAGATCTTATCTAAATTTTTTATCTATCGCATCAAACAAAACATTAGTCTCCTGATTTTCTTATTCAATACATCAGTTGCATTATTTGATTTTGTCATAATATTATATTTCGTTCATATGTATTAAATGCTTAATGCCGAAATAATAAATAAAAATTTCGAAACATTCAATATTTATTGAATGAAACAAATTAAATTTGAATGCTAGTATTTTAAGCCATTCAAGGATACTTAAAAATTTACTAATGTTTACAATCTACTGGCGACACCACCACAGAATCAAAATTTACAATAAATCACTTCGCCATAGGTGCGTGCAGTCAATTCCGAGGTTAACACCAAAATAATGAGGCGTAACACGAAATATTTTGAACGTAAAGGGAATTAATAAAATAAAAAAAATATATTTAAAATGTCTTTACATCATTCAAAATAGTTTGCTTTTGCATTAAGATTCTATATATTGAAGAATAACATCATACAAAGATTCTGATTCTGATAGCCAATTTATTATTTATGATTTAAATCAAATCATGAAAATATTTTGACTTTTCATCATTTTATGATAAGTTCAAAGCTATAGAATCTATGAATTTACCACTTTTTCGATCGCAATTTTGAATTACGATAATAGTACTAATTTCGAAATTAGTTCTTTTTTCGCCTATATATTAAAAGTTTGAAGGGGGTGGAGGTGTATTTCGAAAGGCTAATTTTGAAATTAATGCTAATGGTGAAATTTAAAGTATTTCATAGGCTACTTCGTTAGAGCAAATGAACATGAGAAAGACTTAGCCTTAATATTTTAAGTTTATATAATCCAATAGAAAATATTTGCTTTTTCAATTGTTAGACCGCAAAAAAAAATTTAGATTCTCGTAACCCGACCGCCTCAATTTTTACAAAAATTCATTTTTAAAGTTATTTATCACGTGACTTTAATAATAGGTATATAAAAAATTTGATTTAACATAGATTTTTTTGTTACTGCCATCAATAATAAATAATATCCTTCATTTACATTAACTCTACCGGTACTTTTCCACACTGAAAAGAATCTTCTTTTGGATTACTAAATAACGACCCATCATCAACTTTTACTTTTTTAAAAATTTCTCCTACATCATGTTCATTATTTTCATCATTAATATTGCATTCATTTTGTTCAATATTTTCCATTTCCGTTCTTGAATTTGCTAAAATACTGATTGAGAATTAAGCAAAACATGTACAATTATTATCGGCATATTTTTTTTAAAAAGACAAGCGCAGATAGATAGATAATAAGAGATCTATCTATAGATGGATTTAAAATATTTGCGTAATACAAAATATAAAATAAATATATACAGATAAAAAAAAAAAAAATAAAAACCGGGTGACTGTCAGTTTTAAAATATCTAAACTATTTTTTTTTTATATAACAATTTTTTTAAAATAAAATGGTAATCATCTTTAGATTACATAAAGTACTCTTACATAAATATTAATAAATAATTACTTAACTATTAAAACTACAGAGTATGTATGTACAACTATTACATCAGTCAGACCTTTTAATTATTGATAGATATCGGCAAGTTGCGGATTCGGAATGTATTTAAGGGTTTGGTTTATTCCAAAGTTGGAATTAAATGTCAGTACATTTAATTCTAAAATCTAACTATTCACTTTACTGTTCGCGCAATTATTTCATTCATTGACGTTTACTTATTTCTCTTATCGATTTAGTAAGTACTTATTACTAAATATGGACGTTACCAGTCATGAGATCTTGTATATCGTATGATATGTAATAGTGTAGGCAACGCCCTTTAAACGGGAGTAACTACATTAATCGAAAAAAAGATGTGTGCTGTTACTTTTAGCAAGTCATGTTATAATAAATAAACAAAATATTAACAATGGTTAAAGTTTACGAATCAAAATACCGGATAAGTATACAATCGATCCAAAATAAACAAAAAATCTCAAATTTATTGCGGTCACATGCCTCATGCAAATAACTAGTGATATATAGGATTTCAAAGTCACGTATCTGAGGATTTATCACAAAATTCTTCACCTCCACGTGACTTTGGCCGAAATTACGGCATTAGGTGAAAAAGTCGCTTGTCTGTAATCTGTGCCATTTTATGTCGATCATTAGGGTACTATCACATCACGTCACACCACCGCACCGCTATTTTCATTTTTACTGGGACTTGGAAATTTTTTGTTATGGAAATCCTAAACGTCACACATATCGTTTGACCGCTTTTGACCTCTTATATGTCACCTGATCGACATAAAATGGCATCAGATTACAGACGTGCGAAAAAGTCCTGTGTAAGATATTATCGTATGATTTACTATATATCTCATGACTTGATTTTACTGACCGTTATGAATTTTTAAATTATCATCAATAATATATAAAAATATATACTAAATGATATTTCTACATAAATTCACAGATGTCTTTTCAATTAAATATAGATCCTGATTATATGAATTCCATCTTGATACCAGAAGGAGAATTTAATGGTAAAAGTTATTTATGTTTAGATTGTGGAAAAAATCAAAGCAGCATTGAATGGTGTAAAGAATGTGAAAATAATTCCTTTAAAGAAAACTTTAAAAATTGGACAAGTGGAAATCTTGAAATCGATAATTTTATTAAGCATACTCAATTAAATGCTACTGGAAGTGAAGATTATTTGGAATATATTAAATTTGAGCAATTTGACCTTGTTGAAGATACAAATAAAGGTGGTGCATTTAGTATAATTTATTCAGCAATTTGGATGGAAGGTCCTCGATGGATTTGGGATGAAGGTGCTGGACAATGGACGCGTAATGGACCAATAAAAGTTGCTCTTAAAAGACTTAATAATTCACAAATTATGAGTAAAGAATATCTGAATCAAGTAAGTTAATAATTTCAAAATTTATTTTAATAATGAATAACATATTAACAACCATAAATAACATTTTGTTTAATTTTTTAAGTTTTATAAATATCATAAAGTTTTACAAAATGGAAATATCGCTGATATTTTTGGAATAACCAAAGATGCTTCCTCAAATTACATGTTTGTTATGAGATATTATGAGAATGGAGATTTGCATTCATACCTTGATGAAGCACAAGGAATGCTTTGTTGGAGAGATATAGTTGAAATGCTTTGGGGAATATCCGGAGGAATTGAATATATCCATGAAAATGAGTTAATTCATGGAAATATTCATGGAGGTAATCTACTGGTTGAAAATGAATTAGATTCAATTGATATTCGTATTGCTGATGTATTAAATTGCGTAATTGACATGAAAAATTCAAATGGTTTTTATGGAGTTCTTCCTTATGTAGATCCTGAGATTTTAAAAGGAGGATTAGCAACAAAAGCTTCAGATATTTACAGCTTTGGAATTACTATGTGGACACTTTCTGCAGGTATTCGTCCATGGTGTAATAAACCACATGACATTAAATTAGCTACTGAAATTTGCCTTGGTATTCGTCCTGAAATTATTGATGGAACTCCAAATGTTTATATTCAGTTGATGACACAATGTTGGCATTCTGATCCTTTGAAACGTCCAACTGCATCTCAATTATATGAATTGCTTGGAAGTTGGGTAACTGCTATATGTGATGAACCTACACAATCCGAATTATCTGATCAATTTGATATTGCAGAGGAGAAAAAATTTTCAGATTTAGAAAAAAACAATTTTAACAAAAATATTCATCCAAATGCATTTTATACAAGCAGGCTCTTGTATTTTCCCGAATTAATTGACTTTAATATAGATAAATAGATAATAGAAAATCTTCATTTGGCAAAATGCTGTTTCATATTTTGAAAAATTGGCAATTATTATGATTTTTTTTTAATAAGACAATTTAAGTTTTATATGCATTCTAAATCTTTAATTAAACTTAATTTAATATTAATCTCTTTAAGTATTTAAGAATCTTTTTTATTAAATCAACTAAGTAAAAAGTCGATGTATGAGTTATATAATAATTCGATAAATTATAAGTCAGAAGGTCGTTTTGGAATTTTATTTTTATATAAATAGAAGTCTTTAAATTTTCGCTATTCTTTAATGTAATAATATTTTTAATTTTTGGATCAGAAAAAGTCAACCTATATTTAAACTCGTTGTATTTAATTTATATTGATTTCGAGATTTTTTTATCTTTCAAAAAATGTGATTGGCAATAAATTACTTTGGACGCTCGAGTCCTATTAATCGAAACACTGTGATTTTTGTACAATATGCAAGTTTTTTATAATTATTGTCTTTATTTGTCTCTCTTTATATTATAAATTAAATCTATACCATAGATTATTTTTCTAATAATTTGCTTCAAATCTTATTTATAATAACATTTTTTGAATTCTTTGATAAAAATGGTACAAGCCTTAATAAAATTGATCTTCGACCTATGAATCAATAAGGCGTAAATTAAGAAATAACGATACACAATAATAAACTAACATTCTGCCTTTGTAATAGGCGTAATAGGCCTCAAAATTTTAAACAAAAGCAACGAAGCCTATTTTAACGATATAATTATTTCTTAAAATATCAATTAATCAGGGCTGTAGACCTAATTGATAATTTCTCCTGACTTTTCTTTATATGAAGGCAATATCCAAGATAATATTTAGATTTGATCGTATTGATATCAGAAAAGCTTAATTTAAAGACAATGGATTATGTATTTGTAATCAGTAAAAGTTGGAGGATCGGCATCTTAAAAAGGAAAATAAAGAGTATAGGGAAAACCGGTACGGCAAAATAATATAAAGTATTGTACCGGTCCCTGAAAATAAACAATGCTAATCTTGATTTTATCTAGAAATGCGATCCGAAATCCGTCAATTTGGATAATCTGCCTTATAATCAGATAACGGATAATTTTGCAGTAAGTCAATCCCGAGAAGGATCAATCCGGATTATCCGATTATCTGAACTATCCGAACATCTAATTTAGAACTATAAATGATAGAAACGGTTTTATTTGATACTTATAAATTAGATTTATTTTTTACAAATAAAATAATTAAAGAATACAAAGAAATCTACATAAACAAAGTTCATATATCATGAAAAAATATAATGAAAGAAAAAATCAAACAAAATAACAGGTGACACTGGTGATACATGATCTTCCCCAGCATTACCAACAAAGTTTTGTGCTCATGTAATCATAGTGATCATAGTAAAATATTTATCATCTGGTGTTAAATAAATCAAATTTTAAATTAAATTAAATTATTTTTATTTATATAATAAATTATTGTAATCAAATTGACCTCACTTCTATATTCATAAGGATGAGATTTCTGTTATAAAAGCTTTATTTTAGAAAAGTTTTCAATGAGTATGATTAAAAAAAATAAACTTCAAAAATAAATTATAAATTAAAATATGCATTAAGACAATGAAAATCTTATAAAAAAAAATAAAAACTAAGTCTAACAAAAAAAGTATCTATTATATCATTAAGTTTATTTATTTATATAAAATATTATTGAATAAGATTTTAATATATATATATTTTACACAATACTATATGATATAGGGCAAAAGGGGGATTCTGGGACAGATTTCAAAATAGTCCTCCAAACCCGCCTACGAATCAAATTTGCTATATGATTTCCAATATTAAATTCAAACCTCTAGCGCCTTTTAACTCTATTATAGATGATGATATCGAATTTGACTAGGAATTAGCCTGTCTGATACCAGGAAGT